TGATGCTGGGAAAGATTGAAGGCGGGAGAAGGGGACGACAGAGGATGAGATGGTTGGATGGCATCACTGACTCAGTTGACATGAGTTTTGAGTAGGTTCGGGGAGTTGGTGATGGACAGGGAGGCCTGGCATGCTGCAGTCTATGGGGTCACAAAGAATCGGACAGGACTGAGCGACTGAACTGAACTGAAAGGAAGGAAACCCAACTTTCTCTTAACCAACAGGAATTTTTCAGCACCCTCTGAATGTGATCCAGCCGAAGGATGCACTGGTGTCTAGAGCACCCCCTAGTGGAGGATCTGCCATTGCACCCTTTCCCCATGTGGTTAGAAATCTTTCCCACACAGAAGCATTTGTGTTCTGGGGTCACTGCATTCATCTCCCGGCTCAGACCGTGAAGATGGATACGTCTTTCTTTTCACGTCTGCTCTGTCCAATATAGGGGCCATGGCCACATGGGTTGTGGAGCATTTGAGACGCAGCTACTGCAGCTAATAAACTGAATGTTTAATTTTGCTTAATTTTAAAATAATATTTATTTAGTAAAAAATTTGTTTATTTATTTGTCTGAGCTGAGTCTTAGTTGTGGTGTGTGGGATCTTTAGTTGAGGCATGGCACTTGGGATCTAGTTCCCAACCAGGGATCAAACCTAGGCCCCCTGCTCTGAGAACACAAAGTCTTAGCCACTGGACCACCAGGGAATCCCTAGTTTTGTTTAATTTTAACTAATTGAAATAAAAAAGATATATTAATTTTAACAAAAAAAGTTACAGTAATTTTTAAAGTAACGTTTAAATTTTAAAGTAATTTTAACCAGTTGAAATGTAGGTGAGCACAGGCGGCCAGTTGCTAGCACATCACTGCAGCTTTGGGACACGCATGACTGTGGACGTTCTTTGCTCCTTCATCAGAGCTCTGACCTTGTATACAGCCAGGAAGCTCTGGCATCATAGCCTCATTTTCTGAGCATGTGCCCAACTCTCCCCAGGGCCTCAGCCCCGTCGTATTGAAATAAAGAGGTCCCATGAGATCTACCGGCTCCTTGTAGCTCTCTCATTGGGCTCGAGACTTGAAATATTAGAAATAAATGAGCTCCATTTCAGAGGTAGTGACACATCAAATCTATCCAGTGTCTGTTACGATGTCAGGTCTGTGGGTGAGGTAGTATATGTGTTGTATGCAAGGAACCCCGTCAGAAATGACTTGCCCTCAGCATTTAAAAAAAAAAAAATGTGTTTATTTATTTATTTGATTGCACCGGGTCTTAGTTGCAGCATGTGGGATCCAGTACCTTCAGCATTTTTAAGATGTGGATTTATTCTAAAATAACATTAAAAAACATAGGCTTACAGTTAAAGAAGTGAAATAAAACCAGGATACAAAAAATAAGCACTTTCTTCCAATTAAAAATAAATTTTAAAAAAGGTAAAGCAATGATCCTCCAGTTGAAAATAAATTTAAAAAAATAGGCACATCGTGTTCAGGCTGTTTACCTCTCACAAGAGCACATTTTTAGGAGGAAGAGCAGAAGAGCATGTCTTTAGTAGGCACAGTGGCTGTACAGTGGTGGGTGGCAGACAGCTACTGCCCAGATGGGTATATTCCCTAACATTTCCTGCACGGGAGGATATTCTTAAAGGCATTTATGTAGCTTTATTGTCAATAGACGGGAAAAGGCAAGAAAACATAAAGAGTTTAATGTTTTCAACTTACTAACAATTTCTCATTAAGTCCATACTTTATGTATCCAGGAGTCTTCTATGTACAAAATACCAGTTCTCAGTGGTTTGGATAAGATTGTAGTGAACTTTTCCTACCACATTGATTCAACCATTAACAGGAACACACTTGTTCATATGCATACACTGAATCCATGGACATGTGAACTGCTTCCATGCTGCTTCTAGCATCTTGAAGATAATACAGACCCTTTCAACAGCTACCTGATTTGTTGGATGGTTAGTTATTTGTTTGAATGTTTTTACAGACAAATCATTGTCACTGAATTTTGTTTCAAATCAGTAAAAACAACAGAGAAGTTTTGCTTATCGATTACAAAATACTCAGCCCTCTTGGAGGGCTTCAAATTACCCAGACTGCCCAAACCAAGCTAGCCCATGTTTCAGTTCGTGGTCACAGACAATACAGCAATTTAATGCAGCAGAAATCCTGACCGAATTCAAAAGACAGTATTTTGCCGTAAGAAGTTTATTCACCTCCTTTCCCAAAGAACTGGTTAATGCTGAGAGCAGCCCACTTTGTCTCTCAGAGGTCTATGGATACAGACTCATCTGAAGGATGTTTATATAAAGATACATGTGTGATTACAACCTATAGGTCACAACACTTCCTACATCAACGTTCCTGTGTAATTTTCGAAACTGTGCAGTTTACAGACACAAAAGTCACATCACATGGCCATCATTTTGCATATGCATCATGCAGCTGGAGATAAGAATCTGGCTTCACTAAGCTGTTACTCATGTTTTGTTGGTGCTCAAAGGTCAGAAGGAAAAGCAATAATTTGGGGAAATAGTAAGCGAAGGCCCAGGAGAGCCGTCTGGTCCAGTCACCACTCAGGTGCAATGACAGCTCAGGTACCTAAAACAAACCTCAGCCCAACCATTTGATGGTCTTGGCTGGCACTGTCTGATTTTTTTTTTCCCCACAAGAAAAGCTGGTCTTTCATATTAAGAAGAGTCGTGTCAGAAAACTGGGCAAACAATCTATTCAAAGCTCAAGTGGAGACGGTGTCCCTTAGGTAAAGAAGTGGCAGAAGTTTAAAAAAATGTGCCATGGCTTCAGTAACTTGACTGTTGAAACTCAGGTGAGGGCACCATCACTTTGAGCCAGAAAGAAAGGAAGAAAGATTAATCATGTTGTACCTAAGCCAACCCGCTAATCACAAATACAAAATAGAGTGCTAAGATATGAAGGCGCTATAGACCTACCACTGAAAGCTGGATGTACCGGTAAACATTCAGAATTCCCTCCCCCTGTCTCACACCTAATCTGATGGAGCCACCCAATGGCTTCACACCAGGGTAAAGGGAGCCGGCTGCCTCCGAGTCTAGGCAGGCTTTGAACCGGCCTTCTATTAGAAACCCGCGAGAAGTATCTCCTGGGATCGCTGGGGCGCTTAGCTGCTTTGGTTGCTTGCAGCCACCCTGCAGTGAACCCCATGGTAATGGAAAGCAGCACGTGACCGCTCAGGTCCACCCCGTCTCTGTTTTCAAGGTCTTTCCTGAAAGTTGGCCACACAGATAACCTGGTTTCCATGCTATTTATTGCCCAGGAAGGAGGAAGGGTTGAGCCCAAGCCCTCGGGGATGTGAACTCTCGGTTCCAGGGAGTCTAGGGCATCAAATCTGATGCTTTCAGGACCGAGCTGCCCCAGAGAGGGAGCCCAACCATAGCTTTCTCTTAGAATAAAAAACGGACCTGAATTACAATAGCTCTTTCTTATTTGTGACACATCAAGAAAAAAAAAAAAGACAGAAAACTTTCCCTAGCACTTTAGGACATATTTAACCTGTGACTTTTGCAATCATTTTTCTACATTAGAACAAATTCCACTTCATATTCTTTTTATTAACAGAAACATCATTTCATCTGAGATCTCCATTTACTGGTGGCAAATTTGGGTCACTTTAGAGACCCAGAGTCACTTCTTCCATCAAATTTGTTTAGTCTGTAAGTTACAGAAGATTATTCCATCAAGTCAGATGCCTCACTCCTCCTAGCATTTTAGCAAAGATAAAATTCAAATGATTCAAATGATGCTTTTAGTAAAAAAAAGAAAAAAAATAGATTTCAAGAAAGGTAACAGTGGGATGATCATTTTTTCCAATAGCACACAAGTTTGGTCTCTTTGGAAGCAGGTTTATGAAATAGCTGCCTTCCACGCACTTGTAGGATTTAATTTGGGGTGAGTTCTGGACACAGCCTGATTTGGGGACCCATCAATCTCTGGGTCAGGAATATCCCCTGGTGGAAGAAATGGTAATCCACTCCAGTATTCCTGCCTGGAGAATCCCTTGGACAGAGGAGCCTGGTGGGCTACAGTCCATGGGGTTGCAAAGAGCCGGACACTAGGTAAAGCATGATGTATCAAGACATCGTTTAAGACAGTGAGAAACTTACCTCTTTAGCTTTGAAAAATAAATCTTTATGCAGCCATCAGTTTTGGAGAAGACTTTGCAACTTCCAATATGTTGACAGATGGGCCATCTCTGGCCACCATATTCCTAACAAATACTGAGGGATAATTTTCAAAATATTGAAGCATTTTTACCCGTTTGTAGCTGCTCCAAAAACATTTGTGTTGATTTCCCAAGGTTCTGCCACCTTTTTGGACTAGATTTCACTGTAAAATCCAGTTCCTCCCTCAGACCTGCTCCACTTCCGTGAGGTTGAAACACAGCAAACCCTGAAAAAAGTACCAAAGGTCAACTTGGTTCAGGGGTTCAGCCAATGGTTTAAATTATTTAGTGAAAATTGGGCACGGGTGTACTATCACATAGGTGTGCTCACACTCAGAAAATACTTCCTCCTCATTCAAACGAGCTAAAAATGTAGGTCCCATTTCTGGCACTTTAAATAAAGTTCCCCGTCGCAGGATTATTTATCATGGTTAGCGGTTGCCATCAGTCATGAAAAGTTAACGAAGACCTATTGGGTTTATCTATAGGCAGCTAAACAAACATATCTTGCTCTCCTGTTATCTTCTTGTTAACAAAGCCCTATCAGGGTGTTCTCAACATCAGCATTTACTGCACAGGGGCCCTTTATCTAGGATGATATATAGGGAGCCCATCAATTAGCGTGAGGGTTTGTAGATACCTGCCATATATTCATGAGGGCAGCGGCTTCCCTGTCTCTTGCCATCACAGTCACGGTGCTGTCTGGTGTTCTAGGTGGTGTCACCGCTTGCCTTCTGGGTTTTAGTTGATTTCTGTCACGGCCGTGAAACTGTCAGAGTGCTTTTGGTCCAGGCAGGGATGTGCCTGCATCATAGCCAGCGTCCAGGGCTGCTGCTCTCAGCACACTCACAAGAGCCCAGGGGACCAGGGTCCCTAGCAGCCATCGTGAGAAAACGCACAGAGACCCAGGAGCCTCGGTGTAAGTGTTGCTTTTGCCTAAGCATTTGGGTGGGGGGGGGGGGCAGGCAGAGTATTACTCAGTCGCTGTATACAATTAGAAATTATTGAGGCAAACACTTTAGTTCTGGGCATGTGACTGGGTGGGGGCCGTGCAGGGGGAGACCTGTCATCAGAATGGCATGTGGAATCTCTAACTTCATTCATTCTGATGCTGCTGCTCCTCTGTGTGAACCATCACTGGTTCCCCAGTGCCCACCAGATAAAGCCACTTAGCTGGACTCCACAGTTCACTGCCCTGAGTCTTGACCCCTCCCACTCCTCCCCTGCTCACGTGTGTTAGGCTGATTCAGTTGTGTCTGACTCTTTGCGTCCGTATGGACTGTAGCCCACCAGGCTCCTCTGAACATGGGATTCTCCAGGCAAGAATACTGGAGTGGGTTGTCATATCCTCCTACCGGGGATCTTTCCGATCCCGGAATCAAACCCGATCTCTTATGTCTCCTGCATTGACAGGCAGGTGTTTTACCACTAGCATCACCTGAGAACACCCGCCCCCCCCAAACATCTTTCTCATCCTTTCTCCAACCTTCCAGGCCCTTTCCCCACCCCCCACCCCACCCCATCCCAGTGCTATTGAACTTGCCTCTTTACTTCTGGAAAATCTGTTCCTTGCCAGCACTGCACTGTGAGCACCCCAAGAGCCAGATCCAGCTTCCCAATTTGGTGAACATTCGAGGACACGCCCAACCCTTCTGTCCTCTGTTCTCACAGAGCAGGCTTTTTACAGGCTGTTTATTGCATCTCAGTGATCCATTTGCTTGTCCTTCCCCCAACTCTACCTGGGCACGGGGGACAGTTTCCTGTCTCAGAGCTTAGCAGGGTGCCCATCAGGCAAACACAAGGTTACAGGAAGGAAGGATGAAGACACAGAAACACGCCGGTAACCCCACTGACATTCCCCAGCATACACTGAGGTCTCCTGGAACCAATGAAGCCCCAGGAGCAGTAATGAGGGCTGGCGTCGTGACCAGCCAGGCTGGGTCACCTGTGAAACGGGGATAAACTTATCTTACAGGGGGTTCGGACTTTAATAAGCAGTATTTCATAACCGATGTATTTTATGATGGATGCAGATGCTATTGTAACATCTCCCAACTGCTGTGGCCTCTGGTGTAAGGGGCCCGGCTTCCTGTAACCTGGACGGCCCTTTCCTTAGCACAGGGTTTTATCAGTTTGGTTTCCCCCGAAATAACTCAGGTGGGTGATAAGTTTGTGTGACGTTTGGTGCCTTCCAACTCTCAGAGATCAGATGGCCAGACCTAAAGCGAACCCTCAGCAAAGACCCCCAGGGCCACCGAGTGCGCTAGTACTATCGTCACCTCCACTGACCAGCCTGATGCACTGGGAGCTGGCCCCCGAAGCCCTCGGACATGCAGTCTTTCTCCTCTCCTTCCTCAGGTGCCTCGAACCCAAGCCAACCCTTGCCTAGACTCAGGCTTCTGCCACCCTCCTGCCAACACCAGGCGCAGTTCAGAGGGGGGCGTGTGGCCTGGCTGTGACCCTCGGAGCTCCCTGCCGAGCAATCAGGACAGGAACTCTTTCTGCTTCCTCCTGGCTCTGCTCCCAGCCCCCCAGAACTGCATTCTCAGTGGCTGGTGTCTTCTTGTTAAAAGTGAGACCAGCTGCCTGCACACAGCCCACTTCCTGAAGGCTCCGCTGGGCCACTGCTGCCCACCCAGCCGGCTCCCAACTCAGTTCCCCAGCCTGGAACCCTCTGCCCGGGGCTCTAGATTCCGGGACCCCCACACTCCCTGGGAAGGCTGTGGCTGAAATTCCCCTCTCCAGATGCCTTTCCGGGGGAGGTCTGTGGATGTGCAAGGGGAGGGCCCAGGTTGAGCTGGCTGACCCCCCGGGGAAGGGTCCCTCCTCGCCCCTTCCCCAGCACCCCTGCCCTGCCAGATCACAGGCTCTTCGGGGGCCCCCCACCCCAGCTGGGTGCATTCCCCATGGGACAGGTGATGTCACCTCCGAGGCTGAACAAAGCAACCCCTCTCTCTGGGGACAGAACGGAGTTGGAGTGGGGCACCCGTGCAAATGGCATCCCCTCCGGCCTTCAGTATCACCTGTGGGACCTCGACAGAAGGTGGGCAACCTGGGGCTTGGGGAGGTTGACCCCCGCGGCCCTCTGGAGGACCCGCCACATGCTGACCTGGGAACCGACCCCCCAACACCTTTGCCTACCTCCACCTCTGTTCTCTCTGCTGGTGCCTTCAGGGCAGTGAGCCAGCTCCCAGCCAGCCGGTCCTGGCAGTGGGGAGAAGGGTAGGGACAGGCTCCAGGGGACAACCCTGGCTGTGGGTGAGGCAGGTGCATCCTCTGGGGGACCTCAGGGAGCTGGGGTTCGGGTGGGGCAGGCGGTGAAGGGGCCTGGGGCTGGTGGAGGCCCGGCTCCTCCCATCAGCTAGAGACCCACACCCTAGGGCCCCTGTGGGTCTATTCCCATAAAAAACAGGGGCTGGGAGGGACAAAAGGGGAGCAAAAGAAAGGGAGGGAGGAAGTGGGACAAGACGCAAGCAGTGGCCGAGGATGCAGGGCCCTCTCGGCTGCCCTGTGGCTCTGGGGAGCTCCCACGCAGGGAAGACAGGTGTTTGCTGTGTTTGCCTTAACCCAGACGGGTTTGGGGTAATAATGCTCTTGACTGACCGCCCCAGACAGTCCGGTTCTTCCACTCCCCTTCCGCCAGCCCCAACCCTCGGCCAGAAGTCTGGGGACCTGGCGCCCCCGATGTGCGGAGCCAGGCCGGAGCCTGGGCGCCTCGCCTGCCCTTTTCGTGGCCAGAATGGGAACAGAAACCCACGATCCGAGCGCTACGGGCAGGTAGCTTTTCCGATGCCAGGGCGGCCAGCGCAGCAGGAGGCGCCCGGCGAGCCCAGGTCTTCAGGCGGGGAGGAGAAAGGGGATGTTGGTGAGGGGGAACTCCGAGAAAGGGGGGCGCCCGCATCGGAAGGCAGGCGAAGTCCCGGCCTCCCGGGCGGAGGTCGTGCGGCCGGAGAGGCCGGTTCCCGGCTGCACTGAGACGCTGCCCCTGCCTCTTCTTATCCTAAGGTCCCAGAGGTGGCGTCAGAGAAAACTCAAAGGGCAGATGGGGAAGTGGAGGGACCTTTGACCCCCGCGCGGCCGTCGCGGGTGCTGAGTGTCCGCGAGGGGCCCGCGCCCTCAAGAGCAGTGGCTGCCAACCCGGGGTAGGACAATGATCCCTCACTCCCCCGTACAAGGGCAAACTAGTTTCTGTGTTGGGGGGAAAAAAGAGAATAAAAGTTTAATAAACGTGTGTGCTGTGTTGTGAATGACTTTGCGACGACCTCTGTTGCAAATGGCCTATGCATGCGGAATAATGGTCTCCTTGCAGAGAGGGAAATAGCTTAGCGCTATCGTGGTTGCCTCGGTAACCATCAGAGTCCCCATCTAGCGAGAGAGAAATGAGTTATGAAAAGGCTTGAGTGAAGAAGGGATTAACACATGATCCCAGGGACAGTGTGTCAATCAAAATCAACTGAGAAATTACACTGCTCTATTGGAGAATTTCTCTCCACAACCCGAACGCTAGTGGAGTTGGGTGCGCTTCTCTCTCTCTCTCTTTTTTTAATTTGAGAAAGAAGGGGGAAAGTAGCATCGCGATTAGTCTTCATGACTATCGCTGAGAATTACAGCGAGAAGAGGGACTCACCAAGAGAAGGGTTATTTAAGTAGACAGCGCCACCCCGCCCCTGCCAGCCCACCGCGCACATCTCGGCACCTCGCTCGTGGGTAGCTCCCCCCCTCGCCTGCACAGACCCCCACCCCTCAGGCACCGTATTGGACGGCCAGGGTCCAGGCGCTCGGCCTCGGACAGACCCCGAACTGCGCCCGAGGGGTGGGAGGTAGGGGTCTGGCGGAGTTGATGGGGGCGGGGGGCGAGGCCGAAAGGATAATGGAGACCTGGGTGCCAGTCCTGGAGCCTGACTAGCCTCCGAAGCAACGGCTTGCCACCTGCCTACTGCCTCCACCCGATATTCCACTCAGGGTTCGGGGAAATAAATCATCAAATCACCAAGTCTGATGCTAACACTCCCCACCCCACCCCAGGCGCGGTCTCCTCCCCGCTCCCACTTCCCAGCTCCGGAGCACAGGCTCCGACGCCCGCGCACGCAGATCGGCGCACGTGCAAACGTCCTCCCTCCCCCGCTTGCGCACAGAAACCCGGGTTTCAAAACTAAAGGGGAAAAAAAAAAGACACCGTGAAATCCTAAGGAGCGGGCTTGGGTTAATCGGTTACTAACCCGGCGCGCGGTGCAGCTGAAGGCTGCGTTCGCTTGGACTTCCGCTCTGGCTCTGGAGTTGGGAAGTTTGAAAGAAACCTCAATCCGCACCGCTCCCCCCTCCTCCCCCGCGCCCCGCCGCCTCCGCCTTTCCTCCCCCAAAGAGGATGCTCTCTCGCAAACACTTAGGAGGCACAAGATTGCGCAGAGCGCGCCTAAGGAGTCTTGGTGGGCCGAGGCAGGACGAGCCGGACTTGCCTAGACGGCGAGCCCGAGAATAATCGAATAATCGAGAACAAGTGCTGTTGCTCCGGGAGGCCGAGATCGGGGTGGGAGTGAGGACCCTGCAGTTGCACTGGGGGAGTTTGAAGCTCTCGCTGCTGGAAGTCTGTCTGGTCTGCGCCCGTGGCCCAGACTGGGTCGGAGGCAGTGCTGGGGTCTCCAGGGCGCATTGGGGTTTCGGACCTGGTCTCCTCGCCCCTTCCCTCCCCACCCCCTTCCTTCCTTCCCATTGACCTCCCTGGGCCCGCAGCCTGCTTTTTCAAAGCAGGAAGAGGGACCTTGACCATCCTCTGGTCTTGCCCCATCAATTTGGCAGATAGGGACCCTGAGGCCCTATAAAAGGTACACGTTGAAGGGCCGGACAAGGGCCCAATGGCTTGACTTCGCTTTAGAAAACTGGCTTCATGATATAAAAAAAATTAAAGTTTTTTTAAAGGAATTTTCTCCAACCTAGAGCGTTGCTTTTTGCCCTGCGGGGGAGAGGAAGTGCATGGAGGCGCTCTCGGCCCCACGAGTGCCTGGGTGTCCTCTCCACTAAGTCATTGATTCATCAGTTCATCATCATTTATTCATTCACCAGCCCTCCCTCCGCCTGTTTTACTCCCTCCGGAGCCCCACACAAGTTTCAAGTCCCGAGCGCCCCGCGCGGTTAACTAAATCGCCTTGACCCCGGCGCTATTTGATATTCGCCTCCTTGACACTCATTTGGGGGCTCGGAGCAGCGACGCAGACATTGGACAAGTCCAGCCTGAAACCGAAGCCTCGCGGAAGGGGGGACGGGGAGAACCTGATAGCTGGAAACTCGTTTTCTCCAAAGGCTTTCGGGACATTTTAGCTCGGCTCCAGGTCCTCGGAGCGCCAGGGCGCCGCCAGTGCGGGTGTAAACGTTAAATGTTAGCTATTTGTTCCGATGATTGGCATGGAAATCGACTCTTTCTTGTCTTCTTTTTTTCCCCTCCTTCTGTCTCTTTCCTTTCCTTTCTCCCTCTCCCCTCCGGATTCCCACAAATACTAATTCAACCAGTGGCTCCTCTAATCCTCCTGCCCTCCCACCCAGCCGCCACCCAAGTCAGAAGACTCCTGATTTGGGGAAAAAGAACACAACAATGACAACCCAGGCAAGGGGTCACTTTTCTGGCTTTGCTCCACTTATGGAGTCGAGGCTATTCAGTGCGACGGACTCCCCTCTCCTTGTATTTAGTCCCTTGTATCTTTTTTCTTTTCCTTTTTCCCCTTTTCTAAAATTTTTTTTTGGGGCTGGGCTTTCATTTCTTTTAAACAGCGCTGGAGGGAATGAAGTGTTAGTGGTGTATTAGAAATTCAGGAGTGCCCTGGTCTCTATTAACAGAGACAAACAGATGAGCAGATTAAGGTGTCGCCTGGTTTCAAAAGCTCCAGTTTCTGCTTGAAGGGAGCAACCCACCAGAGCGTCCTGCTCGGACTCTGGATGGGCAGTGACTGGTTCCCCAGAAAGGGAGTAGGGCCATACCCTTTGAGGCTGGATGCCAACTGCACTCCCCTACCTATCTATGTTCCAGATCTCAGCCCAGCCCCCAAACCGCTCCTGCATTCTCTAAATAAACCTATTCATTTCAGACTCCCCCATTTTCAGAGGCTCATCCTAACCCTCCCATCCCCCCCCCATGGTTCTCCATTTCTCTCATTTGTTCTGTCACTACCTATACCTTCTGCCATCATAACCTTTTCCAACTGTGATTAGTGAGGCTTCATTTGCCCCACTCAGCCTTCTCCCTACACCCTCCCTCTTCCCCCCACCCCCACCATCCTTCTTAAAAGATTTTGGAGCCCAGGAGATAAGATATGCAGTCCTCTATCGGGAATCCTATAATATTAAAGATCAAACGTAGCATCAATGGAAGACCAAATGCAGAGAGAAACAAAAGGAGGAGGCTAGGAGATGCTCATCAGCTAATTACAGCTGCAAATATTATGCAAATTTATCTTGGCACAGAAACGGAGAAAGCGAGTTTAAGTGCGGAGATAATGCCGGAAAATTGAATGTTCATCTGGCCATGGGAATCGGCCCAGCAGGCTCCACTGGTCTGTTTCATCTAGGGAAGCACCGTTTTTATACTCCTATCAGATCATCTGCTCTTCACTGGTTGGGGCCGAGAAATTAATATTACTTATAATTGATACTTGAAATTCTTGGAGTGATATGTCCTAAAGAGAGGGAAAAGAGAGCAAAAGGAAGAGGGGAAGGGATGAAGAGGGTGTCGGGAGGGAGAGAGGGGGGAAGGAGAGGCAATCCCAAAGCACTGGATACAGAATCAGACCTAGAGGTCTAGGTCCACTGAACTGAGGCCGAGGTGAAGGGAAAGAGAAAATATCAGGAAGTCAGGTCTCTCTCTGGGACCACCTGCCTAAAACCTGAAATATCTTTATAATCAAGCTTCAAACTTTTAATGATTTGGCGCCTACTCGGCTTGAGTGTGTGGGGTCACGGTCAGGAATGGAGACTTGACTTCAGGTAGCTGAGAACCTAGCGTGATGTGAAGAAGTGACAGAGGTGGACACTTTGCAGATCTGAGCAGAGAGAGAGAAGTGGTTCTGGCTCCACGGACCCTCACCCCTGCTTCTGCCCCAACTGTATCCCCATTTCCTCCATCTTTACCAGGCTGTCTTCAACTTTCTTCAATCTACTCAAAAACTGCCTGGGAAATCATATTCCCAAGAAACAAACCCCATATCCTCACACTTTATAAGCAAATATTCTTAAGTGGAGGGGAGGAAGGGAGGCAGTAGGAACTACAGTGCACAGAAAAGAATTCTTAAAAAAAAAAACACAAAAAACCAGAATTCCTCCTCCCTGCCCACCCCGACCCCCCAGTACAAAATCTAGTACAACCCAGAGCAAAAATGGAGAATGTCAGATGCACATTATTCGGGTGCAAGCCATCCAATTACCAAGAAATTATGATCTGACGTCAGGAGGAACAATTGGAGAGCGAATATGTATGAATCGCCTTTCAGTGGTTTGCATATTTGCAACGATTGTTTAATCCAAGCAACCAGAAAGTAATCAACAGGCACAAATAGCTTAAAGAGCAAATTACTAGTGACTCCTGCCCCTTCTTACTTCCTGAAGCCAGGAGGTGGCTAGGGCTGTCTGGGGTAGGGAGGGGACCCGGGTATAGCTTTGGATTCTGAAATCGGTCCTGAAAGAAGCACAGAGGAAAGCCTGTTGCATTGGGATGGCTTTTGTTCCTTGGGCGTTAGGGCAAGAGACAAAAGAAACAAAAATGCCAATTATTGTAACTAATTAACCATTAAATGAGATGTGCGTCCTCCTCTCTCTAACTCTAAAGTGGAAGGAAGATGATGAGGATAGGTGGAAGAGAGAGCGGACGATCCACCCACCCCACTGCTCTGAGGAGGGAAGGAAACCTGCAAAATTCTGCATGTGTTGACAGACAAAGCCAGCGGAGCTGACAATATGTAAAAATATATACCCTTAAAAGAAAGATCAGTGAATACCAAAGAGGAAACCGGAGTTGATTTTTTTTTTTTTCTTGTTTACTAGGAATGAGGCTGGAGTGGGCAGCAGTCAGGGTGGGAGCTGAGTGGGGGCAGGAGGTGGCGAGGAGTGAAGAAATCTCTGAAAAATTAACATTATTGGTATCTTTCTATATAAAGATGCAAATGGCATTTTATCTCAACTTGGCTCTGTGCTTTCCTCAGTGTTTATGATTAATTATCTCCTTTTTCATAAAAATAAATCATGTTAAAAACTAGGATCTAGGTGCTGGGGAGAAACCAAGCCCGGGTTTCAGGTCGATCTTGTTAATTTCAGCCTGAAATTGACACACTAATTAAAGAGCAGCACGATTACACCCAGCTCTTTTTTTTTTTTTTATCAGATCTACCTTATATTTTCCCAATTAAAAACTGCAAAAAGCAGTTTCATTGCCCCGGGATAAAAAATAAGGGCCCCCTTTCACAACGTCGGCCATCACTTTCTACCATCAGATTCATTGTGATGTATTAGATGCAATAAATTATCCCATGTAACAAAACATTGGGAGCTGAAAGGCAGATAATCTGGAAAGCAGAGATAAGGATTCATTATTCCAAATCATTATGAATCCAACGTTGCCTCTGACTTCTTTCTTAATCAGCTCCTCTGATCCTGGATATGTGAGCAGTACAGATAAGGAAAGAGTCGTTTATAATTCTCCACCTCGTCTAATATTTTAAAATAAAGTCAGAGGCAAGAAAACGCCATAAAACACTGGTGAGCAGGCAAGCGCCGAATGAAAAATCACTTCCATGTTATTATATCCACAGTAAGATTTAATTAAAATTCTCCACGTTCACGTGCTTTATTTTCAGATAGGATTTTTTCCCATCACGTAATAATTGATAGGAATTTGCAAACGGGGCTATTTATTTAGGGCGCCTGGGTGGAATAGTCCTGTATTTTTTTTTTTTTTTAAAGATTTCCAGTCATTGCTTTGTGAAACTTTCATTTGAGACATCCATGGTTCTATACCATCCAGGCCCCCATCACCCACTCACCTCCCAACCAGGCTGCAGTTTTGGTCAAAGAACATAGGCAAAGTACCAGACCAGAAAGTTGAGTTTAATAAAAATGTTCTGTTGGAAAAGGAAAATGAAAGAACTGACTGTCCTCATGCTAGACATCTGTTTACTCCCTCCCAACACCCCACCGTACATATTCATAATAAAATAAATCTCAATGAATGGGCTTGAAAGAGTGGAACTTTTAAACCAAGGCTAATATTGAGTGTGTGTTTTCATCTGGCAGAGAGTGAACTTAGGTGAACTAAGTCAATCTAAGGGTATTCACAGGAAGGTAGACTAATGGAGAAGGGGAATGATGCTGTAGGCTGATAGGCAGGAGGAGAAAAGATTTCCTGTGTTTTAGGGAAAAGAAATGGGATGTGGGAAACCTGGAAGAATAAATACATGGTTCCCCCAGCCCTGCTTGGAACAACTCTAAGTGGTTTCTTAGAAAGACTGGAGATTCTGCCAGCGATTTTTTCTTCCTACGGGGTCTCCTTTTTCTTCATCCAACAGGTGAAGTTCCTATCTGTGTTGCCATCGCTGAGATCTGGGGACACAGGGTTTCCATTATCTGTTAGTCATTCACTGATCCATTTTCCACCGCCACATGCCCAGCGACTTCTCTTTATGTTTAAAATCCAATCAAATGCCTTAGCTTGTGGGGTTGTGGTCCAACCCACCATGGAATTGAAAGCAGTCGATGCTGCCAATTAGGATGGCATGGTTCTTCCAGGAAGAACCCCAGACCCAGCGCAGTCTCCAGGCCCTGGAGCCACACAGAACACTTCTCCTCCTGGTTCAGCCTCTGCATCCAACTCCAGGAAGGAGGATCAGCTGCCCTGGGTTAAGGGGCTAAAAGGCCGGTGGTGTGTGCTGGGGGTGGGTTGGGGTGCAGGCACAGGTGAGCTGCCCCGAGTGCCCTCTGTATGTGCCAGGGAGCCGGGTTCTTGCCTTCCGGTCCTGGAGCTCTGGGTACTCACCAAGCAAGAACGCGTCAATAAAAAGGCTCACTTGTGAGTTCTGAAACCTTGGGAGAGGTCACCCTCTCCACTTGGATTTGTTAAGATGGAGCCTCTCCCAGCACGTGGGGGTAGAGGCCCCTCAGCTTTTAACACTGGCAGTTACCCCCTGAATCAGGGAGGGTCTTTTTTTCTATCTCTCATGAGCACAAGTACACACACACACACACAGGCACACACACACGCACGGACACACACACACGCATGCACACACAGAAACCTGAACCACAAATCAGCAAGCCAGGGTGGCAGCTTTTAAAATTCAGAAAGTGACTTGTAGCTTCATTAAAGTCACATCTTTACCGTGTGCAGGGGCGGGTGTCCTCAAATCCCAAATAAATCTTTAGCCCCTCTGGATAAGTGACCAGTGTCTTTTCTTCACTTTGTTTACTTCTCAGGATAAATTCTATCCTTTCTTCACCCCGCTGCCCACCTCACCCCAACATCAAATCTCCCCCAACCATCCTGGAATAATTCTCTCCTGGATTCCTAATTAGCAGCACTTTCCACTGCTAAGTCCATCAAGATGACAAGAAATGCTCAGCTGGCATTTCTTCTCAGAATCTTGCCCCTTACTGGACATTGAATTCAAAATCAGTTATATTTTAATTAAGTCCCTTGGATTTTTTTTTTTTTTAGCCCCAGTGTCTTTGGCAGTCGAGTTTCCTTAAATTAAACCTTCTTTCGCTAAAGGTAGAATTGGGGCGATGGGGGTGCTGTGTGCAAGCGATCAGGTTTCTCAGTCCCTCAACCAGAGAGTCACTTTAGACCCGAGACTATCAAGTGCCCGCGTCAGCAGAAAAGGAACGCGGGCAGGGGCCGCCAGACCGGCCGGAACCGGGCGGAGGGTCGCAGGCGCGCCCCGGGGACAGGGTGACGACGAGGGCGTGGGTCGAGGGACGACGGGGAGCGCGCGAGCCTGGGGTCCCAGGGCGGGGTGCGGGGCGGGGATCCAGATGCCAAAGGTAAAAGGCTTGCGGGTTGGAGGTGACTGTGATGGGGAAGGGAGGAGATGAAGGGAGGAGACCCTCGAAAGGGCGCAGAAGTTAGAGGGGAGCTGCCGAAACAGGCGAGTGGCCCCTGGTGGATGGCGAGATGGGGGGCACAGCTGACATCAAGTTAAGGGGACAGCTGTCGCCATCTGGGTGGCCGATGACCCTCCGGGGCCCGGGGGTCTTGTTCACCACAAGGCAGGAGTGAGGAGGAGCCAGTGGCCGGGGAACCCTGAAGAGCTCCACCCTCGGCCGCCCTCCGGGCACGGCCCACGGCACCTCGACTCGCGCCGGGGCAACAGGTTGGGGGAAGGAGTGACCTCTCCCTGACGCCCTCGAAAGGCGCAGCCGTGCCGACTCCGCGCCTCGGCGCCAGAGAACGTGGCTCTGCCGCTGGGTGGCGGCAGGCGGGAGGGCCAGGGCCGCCGGCGGGGGAGGGGCTGAGCCGTGACGCGAGGCGGACTTCGGGGCTTCCTCGGGGGCAGGGGGGCTCCCGGCTCGTCTCCTGGCCATCTGGGCCAACGATAAGACGCCCCGCGCCCATCCCGCCTGTGGCTTAAACCTGGACCCCGGAGGATGCTGAGCGAGGCGCAAAGCGGGGCGTGCTGTGTCCAGGTCCGGGGGCCTTGAGCGGCTGCAGGCAAGCTGGGATCCGAGGCGCAGGCAGCTGCCCTTCCCGGCTCGGGCCTCCGGCCGCCGGGGCAGCGCTGGGCACCTGCCCGCCTCGGCGCCGCCCCACCTCTGCCCACTCACTCTGGCCCCGCTGACCAATGGCCTCATCCTCTCCGCCGAGGACAGCCACCCCTGAACACTTGGAACCCTCAGATCGTGCCACTCCCTCCTACCGAACTGGTTCCAGCCCAAGAAACTTCTTGACTTCCTGGTCCAGGGGTGGACACATTTTCTTTTTTATTTCTCCCCAAAGATTGATTTATTTTTAAAGTCAGTCTCCATATTCCTATTGTATAAATATTGTGAAGGGAAAACTCCGCCTGTCAAAACAAATGGACGCTGACCTTTCTACCCCAATGTTTATGGAGTTTCGTTTTACTCTTGCAGAAATTTTATTCATGGCAGACTCCCTCTGTGGATTATTTTGATCTCCGACGACCCCCCTCTCCCTGAAGAAGTAGGGATGGTACAAGAGAGGGAGCTTGTGAGGCTGAGGGCAGGAGTTTGTTTCCTCTGGTGTGTAGACCAATAAGATCATTTTCCTTCTGACATTTTATCTTCAGAGTGACCTCTGATTCTTGCTCCTTTATCTCACTTTCCTAGAAGGTTAATTTCTCCCAGAAGTCTTCTTGGAAAGAGTTGGGACCCCTAGAGAGACTCTCCCCAAACTTCTACTTAGTGGGTGCACAAATGTCGCTACTTCACATGTTTTTACAGCCTCCATGAAGAGCTAAGTTGTAGCCAGCAAGCCCAGATCGAAGTCACTGACCTTCCTGCTTTTCCTAACTTTCACTGACCAGCTGTGGCTGCAGGTACTTGAAAGTGGATTGTATTCATTTTTGAAGCGTCAGCATATACAGAACCGGTGGAACAGTCAGATGGAGGGGATGGGGGGTAGGATGTGGGAGGCTGAGACCATGGCCTAAATGTGGCCATGAGGTTTACCTGTACATGCTTTCACTGGGTCTCCACTTCCAAAGTGGGAGGGAAACTCTTCGAAAGCTTTTCTATCTATGGTTGCTGGTGACCCAGGCAACACTACTAGTGACATTTACAGTGTTAATTCCAGCCCTGCCAGAGACAGTGGACTTTGTAGGCACCAGGGGGCTGGTCACATTTCAAACAGTCTTTCCTCATTCCCCCAACTCTGCTGGTGTCACTTACTCCTGATGTGCGGCGTGCCTGTTTGCAGAAGGGGGTGAAATTCATTCCTCCCTCAGCCTCCCTCCCTCCCTCCCTCCCTCGCTTTCCCTCTTCGCAACCCGGAAGAGCTCTGCTCTCTACTGTGAGCAGGAGGCGGGGGAGGGGGGTTCCTAGGAAGGATGCACATCACCCTGGTTTTAGTTCTCGCTGGAAGCCTGCGTGAGATGCCGTAAGCCGCTGGGGCAGCGAGGACCGCAGCAGCGACAACAGTGGCCAGGTCTGCCTGTCATTTCTGCCTTCAGATCTCCAGCAAGTCAGGAAAAAAATAAAAAATAAAAAACAGCTGGCCGCCGAGAGCAAGCTACCCAGGTCAGTGAATATCACTATCTTCCGTCTCTCACTCTGCATGGGCTTTCCCTGCTCCACGTGGAGAGAATTAACAGGCGGTCTCCGCTCGAGAAGGACAGCTGCCCCTGGAAGAAAATGAATTAGACCCCAGTCCTTGTTGTTCTTTCTGGTCCCTGGAAATCTTTGACTTTCTGCAATGACCTTGGGCGAGTGTGGTGTGTGCATGTGTGCCTGTCCATGTTTGGAGGAAAGAACCAGTAGAACTAGGCATGTGGAGAAAAAATTAAACAAAAATAGGAGAGGATGGTAAGGCTGGGGAAGGGCTGGATACAAGTTTTCCTCTTCAGGGAGGGCAGAAGGTTGGGGAAAGAACCAGTCTGAACGAGCAGCTCAGCCTTCTCCCCAAGGTGGCTACGGAGTGTCAATTTCATGTTTATTTCTCTCTGCCCACAAGTGCCTGATTAGGCTCATTGTCTCTGAATACAATTAAAGAAACAGCTGTGGCTGTGGGTTGCAAGTTGGAGCCCAGATGTGTGAGCATCTGCCATCCCCTGGGGAGCTAGTGGCTGGCGGGTACCTTTGATTCCAGAAGCACCCTAAGGTGAGTGAGAAAACCGCAGCCAGGGAGAGGGTGCTAGGGAACTGGGGAGTGGCAGAAGGGCAGAGGGAACTAGGATTCTACTTTCTCCAGAGACACTGGACCAGCAGACCTCCAAGAAGTCACTCGCTGGGAAGCAGTTCCCAATGAAAACATAACGTTCAAATGCAAGGAAGTTGCATTCTCAGAGAGTATCTGAACAGGAGAGTATCTGAGAGTTGCTTTTATTCACCTTTCCTTCCTCTCAGACACTGGGGGGTGCTTGGGAAGTGGACATGGCTAAGTCTGTCCAGGGCAGGGATGGGAAGGAGTCTAACCTTCAGGATCTCCGCTCCGCTGGGTTCCCAGTCCCCTGTGCTTTTTTCTTCGTGTGTCACCCACATTCACCAGAGTGCTGGGGTTCTGGGTGGGGGTTGAGGAACTTTAAAAGAACAAATAATAATAAAGTCACATTTGTAGCCCTTTCATCCCTTAGCGCTTGTGGCAGAAAAGGTGCAGGGAGGGCGGCTGTCAGTTGCATGACAAGCTTGAGGCAGGGGGGTACCAGCCAGGCTGGTAGAGTCAACCCAGGAAGAGTCCTGGTTAGGAGATGCTTGCAGGACCAAATGGCTGGTCGTGGGGAGCAGCCTCACCATTAAACCTTTAAAATGTGTGATCCTGAGGAAATGAACTGTTTGCTGCCCATCTGAATCTGGGGTGGGATATGGCGCCCAGGGCAGACAAATCAAGACCCAGGTGGGTGTAGGGTTTTCAGGGCCCCCATACCAATTTCCTGGGACCAGGCAGGAGGCCCAGCCCTCAGCGTTGTCCCGCCAGGCCTAAGGTTCCTAGCTGGAGAAGTCAGCTGGGGTCTGAGAATCCGGCTGAGTGGTTCTCTGGACACAAGCCCGGCACGGCACCCCGCCCCTCCATGCGCATCCTCCCATCTACACTAGAATCTCCTTCAGTCCCGGGGAATCACAGTTGGGGTTGGTCTTTTCCTGCCAAAAGCCGGAGACTGGGATGCTGCCTTTTGCTTTATTTGATGTGGCCATCCTGCCTTTTGCCAACGATATATGAGGTGTGGGTGAGTCTGGGGGTGCAGTGAAGAAAGGGGAGTGGGCGCCTCTAGGGCGCATCAGCGGAGCCTCTCTAAGGTGACGCCCAGCAGCGCAGGGCCACCCAGAGAGGCCAGGAATGCGGCAGGTATGTAGGCAGCCCGATGGCTGAGAGCCGCTTTCTCTGGGGTTAAGGCAGTACATGCCAGAAACCGCGCGGGAGGTCCTGAGAAGGCCGTGGGGCTGAGTCCGAAGGCCCAGGACTCTCCCGCAGCCGGCCATTCTAACCATTTCTGTGCTGCGCTCAGGTGTAGACTCCTCCCAGTCTGAAGCTTTTCGCACAGAAAAGTGCATTCCTTTCATGGTACGTCTTTGTGTGTGGACCAAATATTTCTGATCAATTCTTTCTTAACGGTGGGAGTAACTAGAGAGTGCTTTACCCACCGCAGGGAGCGGGGCCAAGGGAGCCCCAGATTTGAAGTCCGAACCTCCCTTTTTGCTTCAGGCAGCTGGGACTAGAGGTGGTAGCGGGGATGAGGCTGTTGGAAGGACCAGAAAGAAACGTGGCCCAAGGCGCTGGAGCGGAGCTCTCCCTGGGTGTCCGTCACTGCGGGTGTGCTGGTACACGTGTGTGGTTGCTGTTTTGTTTTATATAACAAATTGCTTGGGGTCTGCGAGGTGGCAGGCAGCGGAGAGCCCAGCCCGAGCCGGCCCGGCGGGGAGAGGTGGCGGCTGGGCGAAGTGCGAACTTCTGAGAGCCGGGGAGCCCCCCAGATTTTACCTGGCTGTCTCCAGCGTGGACACTTGGTGCTTTTAGAAGCTGGCTTCTGGTCGGCACGGATTGCCTTTCTCCATTTCCCTGTCCCGGTCATGACGTCCCCAGCCCTCAAAGCGCACTGTCATTGTTCAGCAGCCGACACCCCAGTTTTCCGGCTACCCTAAAAAGTAAAAAACACAGTAGCCCCAAGAGAAAGCCCTCCTCTTCCTGAAATGTCAAAATGAAGCGGTCGGAGGAGAGTCTGCCGCAGCTAGCGCTGGGTTCGGGGCTGGCCCTGGGCTTCTAGAGGGTCGGGGCGGTGAGGCGGCCGCGACAAAGCCAGGACCCTGGGCGGCGAAGGGAGATGGAGCCGGCCTCCCCCAAATGCGAGGACCTGGAGTTCACGTGGGTGGATCTGTCACCGCTGACTCCTTTCTCGCCTGCGGTGGCTGCTCCCTTCCCTGGGTGTCTCGAAGGCTTCAGCCGTGACCTGAGGATGCCAACCACATCGTGAGAGCTTGGGTCTAGGCGCTGCGGGTCGCTTCTTAAGTCACTGGTGTTGCTGGGCGGGACAAGCGGCCTCTGACGGCGGAGACCTGCTGGAGTGCCCCCCATCCCTTCCCTTCTCTCCTGGTTCCACCTGTCTCCTAGGCCCCTAAAGCCAGGAGGGAGGGAGAGGTCGGAGGTGCCCCCTTCCTGCAGGGTGACTCGAAGTCCTTTCGATCCACCCCATCAAGGGGAAATCTTTCTCACCCATCCAGCCCTGGGGCTCCCCCCGTGGCCAACCCCTCTGACATGTGCATTGGTAAACTCGAAAAGAGAAATCCCCTCTCCTCTCCCTCCCTCCTCCAACCTTTCCGCTACACCCCTACCCACCCAATTTTTATCTCGCTACCATCAGGGTTTTTCTCAACCAGGGAGAAAAGGGTAGCTGCACTTGAAGGGCCAGAATCCCTCGAAGCTGGAGGGCCGGGCCTGGCGCTGCGGGCGGGTTCTGGGGGTGGTAATCTCCTGGCTCATCTCCTCTCCACTTCTCTGGTAGCCCGTCCTGGCCCAGGCGGGTTTCCTTCGAGTTTTAAAAGCTGATAGATGAATAAGCGAGAGAGAGAGAGAGAAAAAAAAAAAAAAAAGGAAATCAAACCACATACCATCCCCAAAGCGCTGGCTCATTTTCCAGGGCTTCCTGGGCCTGAGCGGGTGGGCGTGGGAGCCGGGAGAAGCAGTG